GCCAGTAACCTGTTTAGTTACCAAAATTTAAGTCTTGATAGGGCACAATTCACGCCCATATGATTGCGATTAGTATAATACACGAGTTAAAAAAAAAATATATATCATTCATGATTTTAACGAATAAATTTATTCAGTACACCACAATTATACAGAATAAAAAATAATTCTTTATTCATAAATAAATTAGTTATTCATGCTTATTCTTTATTTTGATTTGTTTTTGCCCAACTCTGACTATAAGGGATTATTTAAAACTAGATATACAGGTAAAAACTCTACAATGCCTTAAATTTCATCATTTATTTTTCCGTTTAATATTCCACAAATTGTTTTACGAGGTACTAGATATTTGAACAATAATTGTGATAGTTTATATTTAACATCCTTCTTTTTTTAAATAGACATTTAAAATATTAATTTTTTATGCAATTACATAGAAATATGTCATTCAATATCATTTTGACTTAAATATGCAATGTATACAAAAAGAAAAAATATTCATGTGAATCTATACAGTGCGAAACGTCGAAATTTTTAATCATAATTATTCTTGGTGAATAGAAGAATAGGTATTTGCATAAAAATCCTGGCTTTAGTCATTATATTTGTATACGTATATTAAAACTAATTAAATAAAAATGATTTTCTTTTCTTTTTTTTGAAATTGTAAAATTTTTATATTTAAAGAACTTAACTTTGATTTCTCGGTTGATTATACTATGATCAAACAATATTTTACTTTTTTCAATGTTCAAAACACTATTAACTGGCCCCCTACAAAGGGGGATTCAGTGAGGTTAATGGTCTCGGGGCCCGGACCCTTTAGGCAAATTTTATAATTTATTACGTCCTGAATAATCTAACAATATTTTCAGGCAGAATTTCATGAATATTTCGAAAATGAAAAGACAAGTTCTTTGCACGAAAGAAAAAGTAACAATTTCACCGATCCTGGTTTATAGTCTCAACAAATGAACTAAATGAACTACGATAATCGTCAACAAACTATTATAGCAAATCCTTCTAATTTACTAAAATAATAATTTATTAAAAATTAAAAAAAAACTATATCTAAAGATTTATCTGGTAAAATATTTTCTGAATTTGTATTATATACCAAGTCATCAAATAACAGGGAAAAAATCCACGACATTGGGTAATTTATAGTACTTTCAAACAAACATTACATAGCTTTCCTTGTTTATTTTTTAGTGATAATCTCACTGAAACAATTAAAACTCGCAGTGCTTTAACGAAGAGAAGCCGATTTTCTTTAAAAATAATACCACGGAAGAAGTTATATAATAGGCTTTCAATTCATGAAAGTAATGAACATTATCGTACATGTTATTATATATTATATACTCGTATATATATTATATTGTATGTGGAAAAATGTACAACAGTCTCTGCTAGGTTTTGGAGTAGATAGCCAATTACAAGAACAAATTCTTAATGAAACAAAAAAATGGGAAGCTATCCTAAAAATACTTCTTGATATAAATTTATTTTTAGCTTCTAGAGGATTGACTTTTCAAGACAGTAACACTAACATTGGTGACGTAAATAATGGTAACTTTCTTGGGGTATTAAAACTTTTTGGACATTACAATGAAGTAACTAGAGAACATTTGACATATGTACAAAAATATCAATGTGAAGGTGAGAGTGTGCAAGGAAAAGCACAATATTTGTCTTAGATGAGTCAAAATGAGTTTATTTCCCTTTGTGGAGATAAGGATTTAAAACATATTCTTGATGAACGAACTGAATTAATATATTTTAGCATTATTTCTGATGCTACTCCCGATGTTTCCCACCAAGAACAGAATTTAATAATTTTAAGATATGTTTTGCGTAACGGGGAGGCAAAAAAATTTGAAATTAAAGAAAGGTTTGTTGAGTTTTTAAATTTCAATGAAAAAACAGGTAAAGGTACTACTACAATGCTATTAGCAGCATTGGATCGTCATAAAATTCCATTAGCCGATTGCCGAGGCCAGGCATAATGATTCAATATGAGAGGGAAAATTAAGGGCGTACAAGCTCGTATTCTAGAAAAATAAACTTGTTTTTTATTTGCCACGCAGCCCTCATTTCCTTAATCTCTTTGGTGTAAATGCAGTACAAATAAATTCACGAGTTAAAACTTTTTTTGGATATGTACAAAGTTTATATGTAATTTTTAGTAGTCTCTTTGCCCTGTGGCCATACAGCAAACACATGGTCGTATCACAATATTGCGTTTTTTTCTTATATAAAGTTAAAAATTTGTTCATTTTCAAAGTGGTACGTCTGAATTCATGAGGTTACACCGGAAGCAGTTCTGTGAATATTACTGCCCGCTGGGGCAACTGGCCCTACAAAAATTCCCATAAACCACTGACTTTTAATTAGTGCGTTCGGTAAATCCATAGAGTAATTACTCTATGGGTAAATCGCATCACTATCATAATTCATAATGAACAATAAGGCACCTTTGCCTAAACAGCGTGATAAGAATAATCCATTAGTGCCACCGATAAAAATAATCAACCAAAACATATTATTGAACACCGACCTACTAAGGGGAAACTCAAATACCAGCGATATCAACACCGGAGATGATGATAAGATTTTTGACTGGTCTACATTCTGTTCAAATAAGACGACCAAACAAAAAAGAATTTACTCACCGTTGGGTAACTCTCCAAAAACTAAACATACAAACACTACATTTATTTCTAAAAATAAATTCACTCCACTTTCTCCAAGTAATGATGACACGATGATGGAAACTGAAACCCAAATAACAGCTAGTACAACAACAGATAACACTGAAAATACACCGCATAAAAGCACATCATTACCGCCGCTAATATTCATCAAAACTGATATGAAATATAACCTTTTCTGTGAATTCATTAAACCACTAATACAACCAGAAGGTTTTCTATGCAAATCATCTGTAAACGGACTAAAATTAAACACATACACAATTGATGCATATCGCAAAGTTGTAAAAGTTCTGAAGGAAAAAAAAGGTAATTTCCACACATACCAAATCAGATGAAAAATCTTACCGCATAGTAATAAGACACCTTCACCACTCCACACCCATTGACACAATAAAAGAAGAACTAAAACTCAAAGGCTTCACTATCAGAAATATCACTTATATCTTATATTGTCAAACAAAAACACTTCTGCCTCTTTTTTTTGTCGGCTTAAAGCCTTCACCAATAAACAAAGATATTTTTAAAACAGACTCACCCCAAAGGCGGCTTGTAAACACTTACTACCGGGGCAGTGCCGGTTTTTAAAAATTTTACAAAACAATTAAGGTAGATAACTTAATTTAAAAAATATCTAAGTAGAAAACATAAGGTTTGTAAGTAATCAAATAACAAATTCCAAATTTCTTTTTTTCATTTTGGCAAATTTGTTGATTATTTCATTAATGGATACAATAATATCTTATGAATAGGACCCGGGTTTAAATGCACTTAAAACCGAACAAATATGCTCTAAAAAATAACCAAAAATGTCCTTAAAAAATGCATTTTACCACAAAAATTATTTGTCATTTATAAAGTGATTTTTAATTTTTTTTTTATATTCCATATTTTCATTTAATTATCACATATAAAGCGATTTGTTAATACATATATATTTACATATATTGGTTTTTTCAATACATAAAAATCTGGGCCCTATTACTATACTAATCATCCTGGCTGAAACGAAATCCTATCCGTCGTTAAGTTAAATGTAA